AAACTATAATTATTTGGTAAAATATAGAAAAATTTGATATGCGCTGAAAGTTACGCAGCCCATAAAGATTTATGACAGCAAATATATAGTCATTCAAAAATCACAGCTCTGATAAATTCACTGTATGGTTAACAATAATAAAATGAAATTTTAAATTCCTTATTTAATAGTAACTTCATCGTTATTATTAATAATAACACCACTTTTTGCCAAATTCATCTAATCCCAGTACTGCGTACCAAAAAGATATCAGATTGTACTTGTAATATTGAATAAGAAGGTATTAGGATTTTAATAGTAATATATAATAATTAATATGTTAGAAAATCATTGAATAGGACTAAAATTCCATAAACAAAAGTATGTGATATAACTAGCTGTAAGTGGAATTTTGTCTTAAGGCAATTAGGGCATCGTGCCTTAAGGCAAATTGCTGGAACTTTCCGTACCAAAAATTATTATTTTTTTAAAAACGATTATCATTTTTGAAAAAAAAATGTTTTATTTATTTTGACATATTTTGAAAGATCTAAACTTTTTTTCAAAGCAATCGTACTGCTTTAACTGCATAAAGACGAAATATCAAACCGCTTAAGCGCCGCGTCGACGTCTAACGCGTAAACATTGGTACGGAACCATAGGAATGTACGGAACCCATAGGAATGTAAACTAAAATTATACTTATTGTTAAAATCTCTATAAAATATCTGATAATTTGATGTGCATATGTCTAATGATCATTTTTGACCGCCAAATGGCATTTTTATTTTACTTTTTTCATTAGATCTCCGAAACCGCTAGACCTGCCTTTATGAAAATTTGATCGGTTCTTCACCTTGTCAATACAAGTAAAATGTTTTTTGAATTATTAAAATCGGACGCTCCGTTCTCTTAAAAACTGAGTTACCGTTTTCGGCACTTTTTGCCCCGTATCTTCGGAACGGCTAAAATCCGCCTTCGCCAAAAACCTAATCAGCACGTCTCCTTATCAATACGAATCGAATATTTTTTGAATTATTCAAATCGGTTGATCGGTGTTCCCGAAATCGTCGACGAAAATTTGTATCCGCACATACATACACGCACACACACACACACATACATTCATTTTCTCTAAGGTATGCCAAAATATTCAGAAACCTTTGAAACGTCGAGAAAAGCAAAAAATTTCATTTTCGATTTTTTTGCGATTGCTATAACTTGCCCTACGGGAAGTTAAAAATGTAAATGGTCTAAAATTTAGACTCTTCATCCTTTTCGAGCAAACCTATTTTCTGTGAATATAATTATTAACAGAGATGATGATGAACTGCAAATTTGATTTTGATGAATTTTAACCTAATTTATTAATACTGAATTCTCGTAGCAATATATTTTATTAAATAGAATTTTATTCAATATGTTAATAACACAACAGTTAAAAACATCATATATTATGTATATCCATTAAAACCGCGCTAGGCGACTAGTCATTTACCGAACGCATTCAAAAGAAAAGTAAATCTTGTTCCGACCATTGTTCATATGTTTTTCCATTTCGCTCACATATCGATCGTTTGCAGCACAGATTCCTTCCTTATGCATCATATAAATAAAGGGCACGTTCGTAGTCAGTCAGCGATTCCCCCCTTTGCATCAGCGCTGTTATTTTTCACATGGCGGACAGCTAGAGATGTCGGCTGTTTAGAGAGAAGTAGAGAGCACCGTTATGCCGTGCGAACGCATGTGACGGATTACCACATATGATCGTCGGTGAAAACGTAATGTGATGGAGCGCGTACTTGATGCGCGATAAAAGTCACAGAGAAATAGGAAAGACGAATGAAAAAAAACCCAATGGCAAAACAACAGTTTCCGGGAAAAAAAATGAGTGCCTATAATTGGTATTTGGTTATACCTGTTCAGTGGTCACCAAATGTTTTACGATAAACAAAATAAATATCTTCTATATATATATATATAAAAATAAGTCGGGTTTTCCTTCCCGACGAAATAACTCCAGAACGCACGAACCGATTTCGACAATTTTGCATTCGTTGGAAAGGTCTCGGGCTCCGCAAGGTTTATAAAAATAAGTCGGGATTCCTTACTGATCAAATTTTTCCTTTTCAAATATAAAACAAACAAAAAATTTCTTCATTTTTCTCACGAAACCATCTGGTGGCGAAACGGAGTTCGTCGGGTTTGCTAGTATATATATAAAAATAAGTGGGGTTTTTCTTCCTGACGATATAACTCCAGAAAGCACAAACCGATTTCGACAATTTTGCATTCGTTGGAAAAGTCTCGGACTCCGCAAGGTTTATAGCTAAGAAAATTAGTGGTGCATGGCATCGTGCCTTAATGCAAGCTGCTGGAACTTTACGCACCGTAATTAAAAATTCGAGTAATGACATTAGTGAGAATTATCAGAATTATGCTTGGTTAAGTCAACAAGCAATTCTTGCCGCAAAGAATAATGATGTACACGCACTGAAATTCACAATTAAATCAAAAATTGCTGGCAATTTGGTGACATACCTATGATTCCGACTGGTCTTCCGTACTTACTTCAAACGATTGCAATTTTCAGTTTGCCTTGCGTTCGCAATAACAAGTCGCAAGGGCACTCGCTTAGTGTTTGCGGGATAAATTTCAAATAGATTATTTAGAAAATCATTGTTTTTCACATGGGCAGCTATACGTTGCCTATTCAAGAGTTGGAAAACCATCCGATTTGTTTGTGTTAACGTCAGTCCAAAAAACAAAAAATGTGGTTTACCAAAAAAGCACTTCAATGAAACGGATAATTGGCGGATTCACTTTCATTTGCTTAGAAAAGTTCAACTAAAAAACACTTCATTTTTGTAATCGAAATAAATTCATTACTGTTGTATGATAAAATCACATTTTTCCTTTTCAAATATAAAACAAACAAAAAAATTCTTGATCTTTCTCACAAAACCATCTGGTGGCGAAACGGAGTTCGTCGGGTTTGCTAGTTATATATATAAATATTCATTTGTATATAAGAAAGCAAATGAACTTTTTTGCTTAAGTAGATGGCAGTTATCTAACAATAAGAATGAACAATTTGATTATGATCAATATATTTAAATATGCTATACTGATAATTCAACAAAATCATTTATATCGATTTAAAGTAGGTTTCAAAATGACTTCGTATTAACTTCCCGTAGGATAAGTTCTAGTAATCGCAAAAAAATCAAAAATATTTTTTTTTATATAACTTTACGTTTTAAAGCCTTCTAAAAATTTTGGCAGAAATTAGAAAAATGTATGTATATCTGTGTGTGCGTATGTAGTATGTACTAAGAACTATTACGTATTTATTACAATATTTTATTTTCATCACATCCTCATTAAGATAAGTTTGTAATTTTATATTGTAAGTTGGTATCAAATCCAGCATTTATATAAAACTTTTAAAAATCGACCCTTATCCGTACAAGAAGGGTCGAATCAGGTAAAACTGATTATTATTGAGCGGGGGTTAGTCATGAATTGTATGTAAGTTTGGATACAGTTTATCGTTCACGATTTTGAGAAATTTGAATACCTAAACATTGAATTAAAAATACAGAATAACGTTACTATGTCTAAATTTACCTCTTTTACTATTTTATGATAAAGTATTCATTATCTGCAAATATTATTTTTTCTCGATATTCAGAGGCAACTGAGATTTGTGTTGGCTTTTGCTTGGCTGGAGCCACGTGCCGTTAGCACGTTACAAACAGCGCTGGGTCGTCGACCTTCGCCCGTTTGTGTTCTACGCTTAAATTCATTGTTGGTCACCCACCAAACCAGATATCGACTTTTTGAAATGAAAGATCAATGGAACCTCCGACTTGTACGATTGCTTTGTTGCAAATTGGATTTGATAGAAATTCATATAAATTTTATGGCATTTTACTTCTTCTGTAAACATATATGTAGTTTCTAACGATATTCTTATCACCCCAAATACTTGATTCTGAAACTTACAATTATATATAACACGTTTTTGCAAGCATTTTGGAAATTATAAATATATTTGAATCGTGTTTTATCTTTAAAAATATAACCTTAAACGTATTCTCATTTAATTGATAACGGTACTATAAATGATTCATATATTTTTTTATTTAAAAAATACCAGTTTGATTCTTCATAAGAATACTTCATAACATGTGTAATTGTATTCGTAATTACATAATTTAAATACCGTTTATGCATATATTTTTTTCATTTTAAATATTAATCATTTGATACATGAGAAACCGGATATTGACTTCTAAAGATCATTCAAGTTCTGAGAAACGCGAATGACTAAAGTTGAATTTGAATCAAATATATTTAAGTATATCTTAATATTTTTGAGAATATTTGTACATTACTACCCATAATTAAATATTTTAGATTTAATCTAGTTTCATAAACAATATTGTCGTGTTATAGAACTAATGCAAGACATTTTTAAGTTGATTTTGTCTTTAGCAAAATCCGCAACTGATAAATTGTGCACTTTAATTGAGGGCTTCACTCAATTTTTTTATCTTGATCAAACGAATAGTAAATTTTTTTTTCTATTTTTCATATATATTTTAGAATAAAGACCAAGCAAATAGTAACAAAAACTTTCACCTCAAGAGTTCAAGGATGCATGCATTTGTTTTTATTGTACGTACAAATAGCTATAAAAACATGATTTCAACAAATAAAATTATGCAATCCAGTACATCGTAAAACTTTACTGGAGTAAATATGGGTTTTATTTAAAATTGGATAAAAATCACTTTAATCTCAATATCTTATGGAGAAAACAATAGATCTTTTAATATTTTGTTTCATGCTTTGTAAATTTGTCTGTATTTTATATTTCACAAATTTTTGTTTTCAATATGCATATTAAGTTTGGAAAATCTTCAAATAAAGCTTCTTGAATCTAAGCTTCAAATATTTTCTCATGAATAAAAATATCAGTAGTAGTTTCATTCATAAAAACAGAGGCAGCAAATATGGTACAAGATTTTTATCAATATTACTGGTTATTAGTGATAAAAATTAAATTAAAACCTGTTTTACGCGTGAAAGATATTACGCGGGTAATAAAAATAATGGCAAATAACATTTTAAAAAATGAGATTAATTTTATTTTTTATTTAAATATTAAAAATAAAATTCTTAGGGCATTTTACCACCGGAACAAATGCTAATGACCAATCCGAAAAATATTAGGAAATGTAATAATAATAATAAAAATATTATTTGTTAGATAAAAGTAAAATAAATAAATACTCCTTATGTGAATGCAGAACTGGTTTATTCACTTTTTACATTTGGAGATTCAACTTTTTTTATACGAGGGTATTAAAAATTTTCTAAATAATTTCTATTTGTAGGAAAAAGGTACATCACTGCCATTGGCGCGTTTGAATAGGCCGCCCTCTCGCGAACTCCTGCGTCACATACTGCAGCAGACGTACAATCAGGCTGTGTCTGATCCAGACAAATTAAACCAATATGAACCTTTCTCTCCTGAAGTCTATGGAGAAACAAGCTATGAACTCATCTGCCAGATGATCGACCAAATAGAAATTAAAGAGGTACGGAATAATTAATAATAAAGTTATTCTTCAGAATCTGATAACTAATAAAAATAATTTGTTATATAAATACTAAAAGTGAAACTTTGAACTTCCATTGTTTTCATTACTATCCAAATATTTATTAACATTGACATTGAATTGTTGAATACTTTTATTTATAATCACTTGATATGATATTATCATCTCTATTCATAAAGTAATATTTATATCATTTTATGATGTTTGCAGGACGATGTATTCGTTGATCTCGGATCAGGTGTTGGGCAAGTGGTGTTGCAAGTATCTGCCGGAACTGCGATCAAAAAGTGTTACGGTATAGAACGTGCAGAAGTTCCGTCAAGGTACGCCCAGGAAATGGACTCCTGTTTTAGAAGATGGATGAAGTGGTACGGTAAACGCTGCGGGGACTACCAGCTGATAAAGGTAAAAAAGTCAATGTTATCTATAAAAGTCCATTTATACTTATATCTTATTTATAGTGATATTACTATTCATGTTTGTTTTTTTGCAGGGTGATTTTCTAACAGATGAGTTCCGAGAACGAATAAATTCAGCTACAATTATTTTCGTAAATAATTTTGCTTTTGGACCAACCGTTGACCATCAATTAAAGGAGAGATTTGCAGACCTTAGAGATGGAGCCAGGATAGTGTCATCTAAAAGTTTTTGCCCTCTAAATTTTAGGATAACCGATCGAAATCTGAGTGATATTGGTGTGTAAAAGCTTCCTATCATTGTTAAACATTTTGCATTTAAAAAATTCGGTTTACTTTACTATTTTATTTCTAGGAACTATTATGCATGTTAGTGAAATGTCACCATTGAAAGGCTCAGTGTCATGGACTGGTAAACCTGTTTCTTATTATTTACACATTATTGATAGAACGAAGTTGGAAAGATATTTTCAAAGACTCAAAAATCCAAAGGTTTATAATCAATTTTAAATAAATTTAAAAAGAAATCATTGAAGACAATCAATTATTTATGTTATATGGTTTTTACAGGGCACTGATGAAAATAATGAAAATTTGGCTTCAAACCAAACTTCTCGTACCGGAAGAAATAATCGAGCCAGCAAATCGCCTGATGATTGGAATGATGATACAAATGATTTTACTGGAGCTCGTGAGTATTTAACTTAACTATTCAATATATATGAAGTTTTTGTAAGTCATTTATTTATGGCAATACTTGAATATTTAATAAGATTACATATAAATACTGTTCATAATCATGAAATAATAAAATCTCAAATATTATCATTTATTCAATTATTTATCTTACACAATATTTTTATTGCAGGACCAACAACTAGGCGAGCATGGACTGATTTTTATGGAAATAAGTCGGACGATGAAAATTCACAGACTAATGGTGAGTATCAGCTAATGTAGTATTAAAATGTTATTAACTTGTTATATATACCAGTATCTTTTTCCCATTTTTATTTTACCTATTATATTTTATTACGTTTTATTTAGATAAAAATATATTTTATCTTAATTTTGCAAAGCATTATCAGCAAACATTTTAATTGCATTGATTGATTATATGATTGTATGTAGGTTCAAGTAGACCTAAAAGGGCTGCAACAAATAAAAAGATGAGGCGGAAAGTTACACGCAATAGTCCAACTACTACCACTATAAAAGCTTCGCCTACAAATAGTACTTCAACTAAACCAGCTAAAAGAGGTCCGGCACGAGGAAGAGTACGCAAGACAAAGACTAAACGACCCTTGAAAATACAAGGTCTTGACTTACTGCATAGCAAGACTCTATCCAGTACTTCTCCACAAGGTAGCTTTAGATTTTTAATTTTTTCCACAAGAAATTACTATTTTAAACATTATTCTATTATAGATTTTTTAAATATTATTTTATGTTTTCTCCAGCAACTATGAAAATGTCTCCTGGTCGAGGCTGTGTTGATCAGCGTCTAACATCATTATCACAAGCTGCAAGTCAAGTGTCAAATGTTTCTCATGAAGAGCTTGAAATTCCTGCAAGACCAAGAGATACACCATATGCTCTGCAGATTTTACTGGATCTTTACAGAGAACAATTTACTAGAGTGTTGGATCAGATGAGAGGGCCAGGTTATAAAGAAAGTATCAACAAGCAAATTGGACAGGAAAAGGTAATCACTCAGTCAATATTTTTAATATTTACTTGCTAACAAATTTGCATGCATTTGATTTAATTCTGATACTTATTTCACAGGAACGAAATCAGCGGCTAATTTCTAGAGCGGCTCAGTTGGAGAAGCAAATTCGCGTCCTTATCGATGACTCAGTATTACTCTTACGAGCACGAATGGGAGAACTTGGTATAGAGGCTAGTTCACCAGCTGATCTCCTCAGCAAAGCTAAGGAAATTGTGGGTAGACATAAAGAGTTGCAAGGCCGAGCTAGCAAGTTGCAGATGCAGGTAAATAAGGCGTTGGTTTTGAAAATTTAGAGCTAAAATATGTTGTTTTAATGTGTTAAATCTATTTGAGATAATGAAGTTATTATTGTATAACCTTGATAAATTATATAGTTTTTTATGTATTTTAATCCATTGATGATGGTTTTCAAGAAGCTTTTCGCTGCTACCAGAAATATCTTTTTATTCATAGGTAAATGAAATTGAAGAAGAACAGAAACGCTTAGTAAATCTCCGACTGCCAGAGGTCATTGGCAAATTTCGTTACAGTGGTTCATCTGAACAAGCTGGACAACAATCAGCAGCAAATGCTCAAGAATCTGTACCGGATGCCGTATCACAAGAATGTATTTTGAGAGAGATTTGTGCTACTATGTCACATAGGAAAAAATTGCGTATGCAGGTAATGTACTTTTTTGTTTTTTTTCATAATCACGTCAATTGTCTGTAATTAAAATTTAAATATTTTTTCTAAAGGTTTACCGTCTTGAGGACGAAATAGTTCAATTAGAAAAGGCTGAAGAAGAAAAGAAGCTATTGATACAACATAAACAACAGCAACAACAAAATATTGCACATCAACAAAATGTTTCAATGGTGATCTCAAACAAGGCACAAAAACCTTCTCGGAAGCATCGGGAAAATAGATCCAGATCACAGGAGTGGCCTGATGTTCCAGATATAGGTATGCAAAATAATTTTTTGCTGATTGTTTTATCATTATGATTTGTAATTATTTTTTATAAACTATTCTATTTTTATCTACAGGCAAAATAGAAGAAAATAATCCTGAAATATTAGCTCAAAAAATACTTGAGACAGGAAGACAAATCGAAGCTGGTAAATTAGCTAAGAATAGTTATATGAATGGTGATGCTAAACTGTCAGTGAATAGTTATTCAAAAAGCAGTCGTGATAGAAATGATAAAATTAGAACAGTTAGTAATAACAGCAGTTCTATAGTTAAGCAAAATGTAGTTAGAAGTGTTAATCAAAATAATACAAATCATGTTAATGTGGTCAAAAATAAACCCCAAGAAAGTCCCAAAGTTATAAACTTTGAGGATCGTTTGAAATCTATTATAACCTCTGTGCTGAATGAAGATCAAGAACAAAGGAAAGCGCAGCAAGTAACACAAGGTTATTATAATACAAGTAAGAATTATAATCTCATCTCATCTCTTCTTTCATTGCATATAATGAGCTTGGGACATTCTTTTGCTTTATTTTCAATAACTGTAACATAACAAATTTAATTACTTCTAGGTCATCATCAAAACTATCAATCTCAGATATATAATCAGAGTAGAGATGAAAAACGTGATTTCAAATCACCGCAGCTTGAGACCTACCGATACAATGAAAATCAACCACGGATCCACGACGGTCGCGCGGAGCACTTGCTGAAACAGGAACCCTCTCTGTTTAGAAACGCCGATGGCAGATTAAGCGTTCCTCACAACCAGCCTGATTACACACAAGTATCTCCAGCCAAATTAGCACTTAGGAGGCACCTGTCACAGGAAAAACTATCACATAATTCTTCAACAAGCGTCCGAACTATAGGAGATCTAGTGAATGGCGAGATTGAAAGGACATTGGAAATATCCAAACAGAGTATCATTAATGCTGCAGTCAATGGTGAGTAGCCAACCAAGGGTTGAATTTATCATTTAACTTGAAATGAAATTAAAATAAATGAATAATAAATAATGGAGCAAGACAAAATGTCTTGTCATAATACTTATTATTTTAAAACTTTTTTACCAATACTGTTTCAATTCTTTCACAGGCATGGTAACAGGTAGTTCGTCAACATCTAGCAGTATTTCAAACCGCTTAGACCGAATAAGTGCCAGCGAAACTCAATCACCTGATCCGCAGCAGCACCACCAACCACAAAGCAATTTATCCACACTTGCTCAGGCCGCTCATAAACACTCTATGCAAGCCCAGCAGGATGCAGCAGCGGTTGTGGCTGCGGGAAAGAATTACACGCCTCTACCACGTGGAGAAGCACCTACTTGTAGAGAGTCATACTTTGCAGATACTCAGAATACGGCTGCTAGCAGCGGGCCTGCAGATAAAGGGAATAGTAAACCATTAGAAGGATTGGCAGCAAGCTTACAAGCAAGGGTCATAGCCTCACTGAAAATTAAAGAGGAACATGAACAAAGGTTTGTTGTGTTTTCAGTTGTTTCTTAGTGGACTTAGTGGAACATCAACATTTTTGATTATTTCTTATGTTATTTTTACCTATATTTATGTATTATTTAAAATAATATTTCAGACAAAGACGTTTGGAAGCTACATCTGCCTCCACAAACAGTACTTCTAATGTAATGAGTTCAAGTGGTAACACTAACATTGTGTTTAATAAACAACGAGGTTCTAATAATTCTGGAATTCTCAATAATACTCATGTTCACTCATCTGGGCATAAAAGATCTTCATCTCGAGAACAGCAGCCTACAATGCACAAACGTCCTTATGTCGCACCTGAAACCAATAGTGCTCCACAGGTGAGAAATAATTTTAACATGTTATTCATTGTTAAATTGGAACAACTAAGAATATTTAGTTAAATTATTGTTTATGAAAAATGTTTTAATGTATATTCCTCATTCTTTTAATATAATTGTGCATTTTTACTTTTTTGTACAGCAATCAATATCCCTTGATCATGATGATTCTAATTCATTATCATCTCTGCGAATGGATGACAGCGGAAGTGTTTCTTCTAGGCATAGACTCAATGATGAAGGTACATGACTTCAATAAATTGCTTTTTTATTTATATAATTTTAATTATTGTTATAAATTATATAATATAATTATGTGCTTGATTTTATTATTGCTATAAGATATATTTTAATTTATTAATAAGATTATTTTAATATTAATCTTTCACTTGTAGATATGGATCTTACAGATGATATTCCTTCGGGATCAGACACAAAGTGGCGCGCTCGAATATCATCTGGATTTGATAGACTGGTAGCATTTGCATCCACAGAATTAGACAAAAGGCGAAGATCTAGTGAAGAGGTTGTAAGTGGAGCAGAAGCACTTTCTGCAAATAGTCATCATGGGATTAGCGATGATATTACACCTGCTGCAGATACTTCTCCTGATAGTGGTATAGGTAAGTGTGTATGCTTTTTTAGTTTCAAATGTTTTAGCTTTATATTATGCATAATCAATGAATCTATCATTTAATAATAGATTGATTTATGTAATAGATTGATATAAAAATTATTTAAGATTTTTTATAACAACGGTGTGAATGTAAGTGAAAAAAATGTCAAATAAATGCCCTGATTGTGTAATGTGTTTTCTACAGGCCATGGTGAGCCAACATTGCCCTCTCACAATCGTCAGCACAGCCAGTCTGTTTCCTCGCGTATTTTTAAAACGCCACTTCCACGGAGGTCCGACAGTCCTCTAGCGATAGATGATAATACACCTTCATTACACCATCAGCAGTATCATCATCAAATGATGATGTTAGGACCCCCTCGCACGCCTAGTCCTTCTTACAGTCCGCCTCCTGCGCAAAATGCTGCCAATAAACGAAGTGATTCTATTCCTCTAAGGTATGTATAAAATATTTCTTGCTTTTAAAAGGAACTATGTATTTTAAAAACAAAAATCAATGTGGTGAGAAAAGTACATTCATTAACATTGAAAGGATTATTAATAATTTGATTTTAAAACAAATAAATCAATCAAGAACATAATTAACAATCCAATTTTGTATTATCAATTTTCTCAATAATTATTTTTGTATGATTTATTCGTATTTATCCTTAAATTGAATCGAATTTGTAATTTAAAAAGATACCAGAGACATCACAGCAGTGGCAGCCACCATAGCCAACAACATTCCCAGCTACTAGATTCTGACAAAAAGTCTTCTTCTGTGAGTGGAGATATGCAACATGATCACCATTTCAAGAAGAGGTTTCGGCAGCATCAAAGGCGGGAGGAGTGGAACGGCGGTCCTTTATGTCCTGAGCGAGAACGCGAGTTGTGGAATGCTGAGAGACCTATTGGATCAGATGGGTATGGAGATGGTCACACCGAAGAAAATCGCAGATTTAGACCAAAAGGCAAAGGCTGGGCTAGGCCTTCTTCTTGGGATGATGGACCTTAATGGTGCCCTTAGGTTTTAATAATGGTCTAATAGCTGGCATATTTACATAGAACAATTATGAATTAGTAGTTGGCTTTTTAATATGCTCGCTGTAATTCTTATATTGTTTTATTATATGTGCCAGCTCATATACATGTACTGGTATATATTGATTATGTGGTTCCTGTTTGCACTGAAAGATAGTATGTTGTGTTGAATGTCACATCTTTTAAGGTGTTTCTTTTAAGGCAACTTTGTTTTTAGTTTTCTTGCAAAATTATGTCGTTGATCTGACAAATTTTTGCATAGCGCGAAATCTAATAATTGCTTATGAATAATATTTCCAACTTGATGGTAACAGCTAACAGAAATTAATAATATTTATTTGCAATTAATCTGTTCATTGTTAGCTGTTTCTATCATGCACTCTTTTATACAATATATTTGTGGAAATGGACAAGGGCTACTAATCGCCGAAGTTTATTGAATACAAATAGCAGATATTTTCTGCTATTAATATTCGTAATACAAAAGACTTGTTGGCACTGTCATTCTGAAATATTGACTGATTTGAATGGTTTTCTATGTTTAGAGATAATTAGTGTTTTAGTCATATTAAAATCAGTGATTACAAAAAGAACCTGAATATTACAAACTTTGCATGCTAGAAGGAACTGGATTCACGTTTTGCGTGTGGTAGTATTATCTGCCAATCAAGAATAATTTAATTAGAGAATTTCATATTTAATTCAAATTAAACAAAGAAAATGTTTGGTTTATGTGAAATCTCCACAATATATGAATTAGTAGCATTATTCTTGATATTTTAAACTTAAAATTAATGTTGCGATTTATTATCAAAATTTGATAATATTTATCATGATTTAATGAAATATTAGAAAAAAAATTATTTACTTATTTCTGATATTTTTTGTGAAATTTTAATGTATTGTTATTTCTGTTAATTGATATTTTTAAGATTGATGAATTTATTTTATTATTTACAAACTCTTTTAAATTTTATTTTTATAAGGTTTTATTGAAAAACTGTTGGGGAAACTATTCCTAGGCATTCAGAGGCTGGATGACCTTTTGTCAGTGTTTGTAACCTATGGTAGTTGCAAAGTGATTAAAAAGCAACCATGAAGTGAAGGTAAATGATAATGAAATCACGTTTAATATTTATCTCACAATTATGAATAATGATCTACTTTCAATGTTCATATTTGCCATGCATTATTTTGTTGACTTGGAAGCTGAAATCACTTGTTGCTGTCTGTTTAGAATATACAAACATTAAGAAATAGATAAAATTTATGGTATAACCAGATGAAATACACACACTCAATTATGATTAAGAATATAAAGTGGACGTATTAAAATATTAGACTAAAGGAATATTTTTGATTGACAAGTAATGTAAAGATCAAGTAAGTTGAACATCAGAATTATGGATCGATATTATGATGATTTATTCTTCTAATAGTTTTGAGCATTATTTGCATTTGAAAAACAGTACAAGTATAAGTGGCTGATCAATAATCAGATGTGTTATCTTACATAAAAAAATACTCATGGTAATGAAATGGTTGCACTTGGATGATTTGCTTGATTTTAATTGTGTCATTTTTGTTTAGCATTGCAATATTTACAATTCATCTTGAATATTAATGGTGGTTGTACTTTTTTAGTAACAATCAAGTTAACAGTACAGTATTACAAAAAACTCTAATTTTTCTAATAAACAAAAAAACAATTTTCTTTACATGATTTCATCTAGATAGTACATGCATCGAATTAATGTTTATTTTTTAGCGCGTTTTTCTACACTTTTTGTTAATTATTTGCAAAAATGCAAGCATATCATTCACGAACTGCTTATTAATCGTTGAAACATGAATCAAAAGGATTCTGAATCACTGCCAGAATAACCTGCGCCTTTCAAATGATAATGTATTTGTTGGAATAATAACTTTTTATGCATATACATGTATGATATATATATATATATATATATATATATATATATATATATATATATATATGTGTGTGTGTGTGTGTGTAATGCAGATAAATACAGAATTCTGCGGACTTGAATAAATTTATTTCGTAATTACTGAAATAATAGTTAATTATGAAATTTCTTCTCATTTAATACATTTATTGTAAGTTGATGAAATAATGATTTTATTTTAAGTGATTTTGCCATTCAAAACACTGCCATCGTACATGCAAAATTAAGAGTTTTGCGAGTTGACAAGTCATAAATCAGCAAAGAATTGGACCCAGGCACTAATGTAACTGGAATTACAGTAGTAAATAATATAGGTGAAAATTGATAGAGTATTTTAAAAATCGCGCTTCACATAGGTCAAATATATGATACTTAATACTGCTACCCTTTTCAATTTTATAAGTATGCATATTGACTAATAAGATATGAGATTTTTCGACACATGGAAACTTTGATGTGCTTGGACTACGTTATTCAATCTGTACCTGGAATTAATAATTTAGATGAAGGCTAGCTATTTATTGTATTATATATTTTATTTATGTTCGAGACATCTTAGCTTAAATTTAAAGATACTAGTCTAAATAATGATTTAATGAGATGTGTGCATATACAGTAAAGGTATATAAATAATTAATATTAAGTACATTAAATGTTTTGTATTCCATTTATTTGTGCTGTAGATAGATAAGCTGATTTATGAAGATGTAGTGTGTATTATAAACAATATGTATAGACATTATTACAAAAATACTGCCAACGTCACCAGAAAACGAATTTTTTATAGAATTTATAATTTGTTTTATTTATGATAATTGTTTTTATTGTTATTGAATATCCATTGTGTCTTGAATACAATACTAAATAAATTTTATTAAATTGTGTAATTTACTAACATTTTTTTCAGTAGATACGAAATACCGCACGGAAATCGTCGATATATACTTTATGGCGAGAGGATTTAGAAGGTTATTTTTTCGTCTAATTTATTATTTTTTTATATTCATTAATTTATTGTTCTTTCCTCTAACTTATTACGCATTTTATTCTTCTACTTTCAATGGATGGTGGAATTTTAAGCAGCCCTCGATAACATCATTTTCTAAAATGTGCGCACAGCAAAAATCCAACCGTTTTTTTGAATTCTAAATCTTGAATTCTATTTGGTTATTTAATTGTGATTTTTTACGAAAAATAAAGTTGTAGCTGTTACTCCATAAATATTTATAATGTGTTGTTTTGTTAAAAAGTTTTTTTTGAACAAAAAGTGCGACTTATTAGGTAAGCATACCATACTTTAAAGTTTTAAATTGATATAATGATTATAATCTTGTTTTAATTGCAGTTTCGCTTACCTGAAGATATCATGATGAAGACCTAATACAAACAAATGAGTTAACAAATGTTTTTCAGTACTAGCATATATAAGTTTATTGTCTATTATATTTTACAAATTTTATCTACATTATGAAATTTAATGCTTGATAGTTGCTTTCATCGATATATTAATAAATAAGTTGTTGAATCATGGTGGTCCGAAAATTGGTTGGTCAGACCAACTTCTGGCGCAGCACGTTTCAGCCAAGAAATTAACTTTTATGATCCAGCTTCACGCAGATACTCAGGTCATCGTATCAATTGTGAGTTATGGATCGTGTTTGTTTTTCTGTAAAAAAAAATAATTTGATATAGTATTTTTTTTTTTTGATTGGCAGGGTAACAGTGGACAACATTAATCAATTTAGCTTAGCTATACTGAAATGGACATGGTAGAGCTATTGATGTACAAAATTCAGAATGGAATGTGGATGAAATAGCGACGAATTGAAAAGGTATTAATAAATATTAGATTATTATATTAATTTTTATTATTTAATTAAATATAAAATATAAAAAATAACTAAATGATTAAAAAATGATATTTATTTACACAATTTATCGCCCACAATATTTTGAGAAAATGTGTTGCATTGTCGCGCTTTTCAATCAGAGTCAGTCCTCCGAATAAAAGCTCTTATTTATATATCAAAAAATCGATTTTTTCTTCACCAACCGAAAAGGAAAATAATTGCTTAATGTATAATCTGCTATAATATTATTATAGTATTAATTTTTCTTGCTATTATTTGTGTGCTTATAGAAGCGGAAACTTTAAAGTTTTCGCCCATCGTTTTTTATTTATAGTTTATATTTACTCTCAAAGCTGCATGCTGTGAAGATTTATCTTTAACGGAGAAATGCAAACGTTACTTATCAGCTCTATTTTTAATATTGTAGACTAGATGCCCAGAATAGATTTCAGCTGGGATTATAAATAAATATGCTGTCATATACGCAAGAAGAGCCTCTTGCGTAACACTCGACTCAGGTCAACAGAGATAATGCGCCATTAAAAGAAAAAACAGGTGTTGAGGGTGACCACAAGATAATAAAAATTGCAGAAAATGTTAAGGTAAGCTCTAATTTTAGGGCGCTGTCTTCTAAGCAAATATATATCATATAATAGGTTTGAAATACACAAAACACTAAATTAATTTGAAAATTCAAAAATCGTGTTGACTTTCCGAAGGAAAAATTTGTTTTTATCAAAAAATCCTATTCTCTAATTTTATGGTTTCTCGACGTTTCAAGCCGTTCTGAATCGAATGCGACCAAATTTGGTAAAAGTATACGTGTATGTGCGTGTGTGTGAGTGTGTATGTGATCTGATTTTTTTGACGTAAATCGACGTTTTCAAAAAACGGCTGGGACCGATTTTGAAAAATTTAAAAGCCTTTCGATGTATCTCGATGAGGATTATCGTTTCTCAGTTTTGTGCGACGATCTGCCGAGCCGTTTCTTTGTAATTTGGAAAAAAGTGTTAAACTTTTCGTTCACATTCAAGCTCATACTACCGAATCGATTTTAAAAAATCAAAAACTGTTCGATAAATATTAGTTGATAATGATACTGAATAGTTTTAGGTGAAAATTAGGTCTACCGAGCTGTTTTCTTCTAATTAACAAATTTAAGCCGATTTTTATGGAACTTTTTTTTGGCGATATGTAT